TGTGTGTGTGTGTGTGAGGTGTCGTGTCTCGTTGTTTTATTCCACTCTCACACTTTCCAACTCACTATATTACCAAACAGGATGACAGGAGTCAGGTTCAAGCTCAAAGTAAGAGGATTTAGGTTTTGTTCTTTTTCTTTAAAGATTATGTGTATCGAATTCCCACCTTTTTTTAGCTACATCTTATTTTTTAAATTCTTCTTTTAAACCGTACAATGCTGTTGTCTAAGGCAAATGTTGTAATTTATTCCATGTTTGACTTTTCGCCTTGTTTGGTGGTGGTCATTCGATTATTTCTGGGTTTTGTTTTTTTGTTAGAGTTTACGTTTCTGCTCTGAACTTTCACAATATTTATCTCTAATCCCCACCTTTTTATTTTTAGCAGCATCTTATGTTTTCTTTTCCTTTTAAATCGTACAATACTGTAGTCTAAAGCAAGTATTGTAATTTATTCTATGTGTGATTTTATTGCCTTGTTTGGTGGTGGTCATTAGATTATTTCTGGGGGGGGGGGGGGGGGGGTGCCTTCCAGTATGCTTGTACCCGAAGTTTTTTTCCTCCCAACTTAGGGTTGTATGTTTTATGTCTGTAAAAAGAAAATTACTGAAACAAACTACTACCGTAATAGCTTTCTCTCGATCATAAGGAAGAATCAAAGACTTACACTGAATGACACTGCCCTCTATGTGAAGGTTTCGAGCTGGGAACCTAATGTATGAAAGGCGAATACTGTACCTCTAGATAACGAGAGACCCCTCCCCTGTACATTTTGATAAATAGCTGAACAGTGTCTTTAGAAAAGGGTGGCCATACTATGTACCATGTTGTGTGTAGAAGTAGAAGCTTTGACTTGACTGCCGATGTGAAACGCACCGATTGACCTTGATACACAACTTCACTGACGATCAATTAAATAATAAAATAGCTAAAATTGTCTTAAGGTCTCTTCCCTGTGAGCTACTTGGCTTATTTTGAGACGCTCATTCCGAATATGAAGTCATTTATAAGATGCAATAATTATTTTCAAAATTTTGCAACCTAAATTTAGTTTAAATCCTGCGCGGCGGCAAATTTTAAAAGTGATTCTATGCCACAGCGCGTCAAATTTGAACGTGTTCGCACGAAAAATATCTAGCAGCGCTTGATTACTCAACTGAGTCTCCAACTCCAAGCCATCGTCCAATTGTACAAATTTTGTAGTTACACCTAACGATTTATTGTATGATAGCTAGATCGTCCAGTTTTTGTACAATTTATCATGACATGTAACCAGGCCATAAGATACACCGTTCGTTTCCCTTATCTTGTTTTGATTTTACAGCAAATGTGATTTTGAATTATTATTAACTTCCAAATTTATACACCATATTACTTTTTCTTTTTAGTGACAGTTGGCTTGTTTCCAAAATCCAGAAATGCAAATTTTTATTCAGTTTATAATGCATTTATAGGCCATGTTGTTGTAGCTATTCATTAAAGAAATTAATGAGAGCCAGATAACATAATTATGACATTTGTACTTTTAAGTCTGAGTGTTCTAGCCTTATTTTCATGTCAACTCTAATTCTGAAACAGGTTTGATAATACAGGTTTTCACTACCGCAATTTTTACCTTTTTATTTTTTGTTGTCAATGGTAGGGTATACATGATCAAATCTTTCTGGGGGTCTCTCGTGGCGTAGAGGTTAAGGTGTTCGCCTTTCCTTCAAATGATCCAGGTTCGAATCCGGGTTTGGACGGAAACATTTTCCTCTCTAAATTTTCTCCTTTCACCTTCTCTTTTGCGCAGTGTTCTGTCGTCTGCTTTCGTCTCCACTTTCTGCCCCCATCCACTCTTCTCCTTTGCCCCCTCTTCCTGGTTTCTGACTCTTTCTGCAGCCTTTCTACTGCTGTTCCTTGGCTCCTTCTTACTACTGCTGTTTTTCTGCTGCACCCCTTACTACTGCTGTTTTTCTGCTGCACACCTGGTCTTCTGGTAAGAAAAGTCTACACCTAGCCTTCTTGGAGAAGGGTGAAAAATCTCGGAGGTCCTGTGTGCAATTTGCACACACATTAAAGATCCCTTGGTGGTCTAAAATCAATAAAAACGTAGGCTTTGGCCGCCACTCGGGCGAAATTCAAAATGTACTACCAACTTAAAATGTTAAATGTGTCCTGTGCGCTCACATGCATGACCTTATGCTGTTGCGAGCGCCGTAAAGTAAAACGCACCAAAAAAAAAAAAATTGCTGAGAGGTAACACATGCAAAAGCATGGACCACACTATTTAGATTTTTTGGTCAGTAAGCCTGGTTTCAGTTTGAATGTAGATATCTTGAGCATAAGTCATCTTTCCTTTTCTTTTTGCAGTGAATCCTTATAATATTTTTGGGCCTTTTCCTTTTATTGCCTTCCTGACTGGCTATCTCACAAGCCTATATTCTTTACCTATTAAATTTGCACTTTCATGCAAATGTCTTTAATAATAAACTTCGTCATGCAAAGCGTCCTGATAATCCTGTGCTTTCCTTTGTTCCCAGAATTCAATCCGTCACAACCTTTCTCTACATAGTCGCTTTATGCGCATTCAGAATGAGGGAACAGGGAAAAGCTCTTGGTGGGTCCTCAATCCAGACGCCAAACCTGGACGCACTCCTAGGAGGAGGGCGGGGAGTATGGAGACCAAAAGCTACGAAAAGAAAAGAGGACGGGTAAGGAAGAAGGTGGAAGCGCTTCGTGCCATGGAAAATGGCACTTTGTCTCCAGGTGGAAGTGAGGACTATCTGGACATGAGTTTTGGTGACTTCCGACCCAGAGCTAGCTCTAATGCCAGTAGTTGTGGTCGTCTGTCACCAATACACGCAGTGGCTGAGCCAGATCTCCATGACAACCAGGTCCCTCCCATGTCTCCCATCCCGTGGGGTGCGGAGGTGAGCAATTCTCCGACACTCTACCCAGCTGACGGCTACTCAGATCTAGTGGACTCCTTGGTGGACGGCATGAAACTTTCCACTCAAGACAATTCCATCAAGATGGAGGTGGTCTCAGGTATGAGAGACCCTTACTTATCGGGAGCCTCAAGAGAATTCAACAATCAACCTTCCACGTTCATGAGCGTGGAGCGTCAAGGCCTAGACAACCAATACTCTCATCTGCCAGCACCACCACCCTACCCAAAGCAGCAGCAGCAGGCACAACCTCAGTTGAACAGCCTGGAGTTCCCCCGGCAGAACTTCAGTCCGGGACTGCGGCTACAATGTAGGCCTAGCCCGGCCAACAACGCCTCAGGCACGTTCTCTCAGTCGGACATGTACAATGACTCTGTTCAAGACTTCAATGAGGGTGTCCTCATCAAACAGGAGCCTGATGGATTATCGCCCGTCGGCATGGGCCCTGGTAACACCCTTTCCATAAATACGCAGCAGCAGCAGCAACAGCTCAGCTCTCCGGACCGATCTCAGCAAGGTAGCCCAAGTTCTGGTGTCTTTGCCCACCTCAGCCCACAGCCCACAATGGTCAATGGACAGCCAGCGCTATCGCCCCTCACCTGCCAGGTGTCCCCTCAGCCACCTAACAGACTCATGTCCCCCCAACAGCAACAGCCCATCACAACGGCCTCGCTTCAGCAACAGCAAGCTCTGCTCCAAGCCACACAAGCCTCTATACTGCGGGAGGCTCTCACCCGCGGCCCGCCGGCCTACCGGTCACACACGGCCTCCACCCCGTCTCCCACTTTCTCGCCTGTGGCCAACATGTCCCCGCTGGCGGCCCCCTCCAGCAATGTGAACAGCGGCATGCTGGGCCTCAGCCCACACCACCAGCTGCGGAGTATCAGCGAGAACTACGCCGAGGGCCCACAACACATGGTGAACGGTTCAAGTCCTGGTGGTGATGGTGGCGGCATGATGGCAAACAATAATAACAACAACAATAATAACAACGGAGTTCCCTTAGACATTGATATTGATCTTATAGCAGGGTTGGATTATGATATGGATCAGGTTATAAAACAAGAGTTGTCTCTTGAAGGGAACTTGGACTTTAATTTTGACTCAGCCCCCACCTCAGTAGGACAAAATGTAGTACACTGAGGGAATTATTAGTAAAGAAAATATAACGGCTGAACGCTATCTTATATAGTGTTTCATCATCACCTCACTGCATCGACGCCTTCAACAGAGTTGTTGAGTACTAGTATGTCAGTGGTCTTCTGTATTAGACCATATGCGGTACTTTCCTCACCTTGTGAGTTTTGTAGGAATCTTTGCTCGTCAGGGATGGTGGTGGCCACATCGCCAGACGGTGAGATGGTTGTTGATGTATGTGACCTTAGGTGATGAGGTTGATTAAGGCTTCAAGCGTTTGCTAGGCCGGGTGATGATTAATGTGGTTGTTACTGCTTTGGAAACGTTTGTTCATTGGTATGGATTTTCAGAGCTCTCGTTTTCCTTTGTTTTGCCTTATAAGAAGAGGCTCCACCACATTCTACTTTCAGCAGTACAGCTTCAGGTGGTGTAAGTTTATTTGTAGTTTCAAAAGGTTTTGTTGAGGGCGAGAATGTTGTTGGAACACATCGTCTGCCTTTCAGGTTTTTTCCCCGTTGGGCGGTTGGCTTTGGAGGATTCATGCAGGCTACCATTTGTCATCCATAGTAATGACTTGACTAAAGTCGTCAAAACTGTGAGTTGCCTAGATGTATTCCATAAGCCTGTGGCCCTGTTATATTGAGTAAGGTCCATCTTAGTTTCCAGTTCTAGGGTGTGTGGCGGCTTTTATGCCCCAGATTGAACATTAAGTGTCCGAGTTTCTAAACCGTTTTTTTTTTTTTTAACTTTCACTACATCTAATATGCTGACATGGTGTCACAAAACTGCAGAGGAACTATGATGCCATCCATATATGTAGTCACAGTGAGTCACTCTGCTTATGTGGCTGAAATAGTGATGGCGATTTCGTGTTTACCCTAGTTCTGTGTTCACTTTCTCAGATTCTTACTCAAAATTATGTAAAATATTGTATAAAACTTGACCTCAGACTGAATGGAGACCATGAGATAAGGCAAATTGATGTGGTGTTTAGCAATTTATGTCACTTTGGATTAGTGGACATATTTGTCAGTTTTTCTACAGATCTAGAGGAAATATCTTCTAGTTTTTAGTGCTTCTTATCTCGAACTTTCTCAGGTAAAGAATACTTAGTTTGTAATGATATGAAGGATCAACTTGCCAAGACTTAACAAAGCTCCACTGGTCAAGCTGTCTGATAGAGGACTGTGTTGTTAATGACAAGGAGCTATGAACTGCCTCGTGGTTACTGTGCCATAAAGTATAGCGTTGTGCTGAAATAGCAATAGCTTTGTGTGCCAACTTCCCCTTGAGAAGTTGCACTTACTACTATAACAGTGACAAGACAGTGAACTTTTCAAATATTGCTGTTTTCTTATTTTAGAAAAACTGGTCAGAAATGCCATGTTGGAAAAGAGAAAGTAAAGTTTGATTATTTCATCACCTCATGAATGCAGTAGCACTCATAGTGGTTTACTTGGATACCAGAGGGTCAACTATGTCCATGGATCATTCTTTCAATTTTATTCAAAGTCATCGAGTTCGTCTCAGATATAATATAACAATTGTGCAGCAGTGTTTCAATGACCTCAGCTCTGGCATCATTCAGTGTGTCCAGCAGGATGTATTATTCTTGTAAAAAAAGAGGACATAGTGATGATAGTAGTGAAGTGAAGCACACAGCAACGGTCAGTACAGTCAACGGGTGATTGGTCGTTGTCATTTTCCTTCTCAAAGGTTCCTCAGTGTCATAAGTTTCACAGAAAATAATGATGGGCATAGTTGTGATCCCCATGTCATGTAGAGAACTGAAGCAACATTTTGTGGTTTTATATTTTTTGTAGTGAACCTCCTTACATGATCTATTGCTTCCTTTTCTAGAACCTGGTGTGAGGCCTTGTTGCAACTTTTGTACCACATCATGCTTGCCTGCTAGCCCAAGTCTGTATTTTGCTTGGTTTTTCTGGATGTGTTTGATGGATAGGTGGAACTGAGCGCCCTGCTTTTTAAGTCACCACTTTCTGCTAAAGCTCCCATCCCGGTTCAATTGAAGCTTGTGCTGTGCAGTATGATACTGTGAGAGCCATATGTATGATCAGTGTCTTTTTAAACTGTACATCATCTAACTAATGTCTGCTTAGGCTGGAACTGAACTTCGTTCTATCACTCGAGGTCTCGATATTTTACTGTCATTGATTTTGAAGTGGTGAGAACAATTACAATATAACATTTCTTTTATGGGTGCTTCTTGGGTTTCCTTTTTTTAGAAAAAAAAGCATATTAATTTATGAACCTGAAAAACTTGCATAATTATAACAAAGATGGAGCCCCAGAGATTCTGTAGTGTATTTTCTGCTGTAAACAAATTCAGCAGTTCTTCTCACTTTTATAAAATACTATACTTTGTTTAAAGTAGATCAGACAAAGTCATGTGGTTTGCATCTGTGATGATTACAGGGAGTTAAAAATTAAAAATTTAAGCATGAAGTGCAAGCTGTTGTCAATTGTAACTGCATCAACTTTTGTTTTAACGAGCTTCTGGAAAGTTGATTTTGCTTTCTAAGATAATTTGTTTTACGGGGTAAATATTGCTGTAATTGTAAAAATTGCTGCTGGTTTGTTGTTGGTCTCTTTTAATTTGTTTGAAGATTTGTAGTAGTTGGCATTTATGATGTGTAGCACGCATGTGTGTGTGTGTGAAGAATGGGCAAGTGTAAAGTACAACCCTTGTGCATTTATAAGCAATTGTAAATATTGTTTACAATAAACATTGGTCAGTGAACTTCATACTGGAGAAAGTTTTATGTGCTGAAAAAATTTTACTGATCAAATTGCTGAAGGAGGGCACTCAGTCTGATTGTATTGACAATGCTGTTATGACGATAATGTTTTACTATTTTACTTGGATGTTCTAACAAGTAAGATTAAGAAGCTCGATGTGAATTTGATCATGATCACTACATGACCCGGTTGTTGCTCACTTCTGTTGTTCTCACTCTCTACATTTCCATGTCTTGGATCATCTGGTATCTCTTGCTGGTTTCACCATATTTGTTATTTATTTTCTCTTCAGTTTCATGTGTCAATTTTTGTGTGGGGAGGGGGGGTATGGTTTGTCTATGTTGGTGACTATATATTATGGTGTGGGAGGGGCGTATGCTGCTGTTATCTTTTTGACTAAATGTGTAGTGGGGAAGGGCAGCCTTGGGAAAAAAAAGGGTGAAATACGCATGTGTGCGCATGAGTGTTGAGTCAAAGAATGTTACCGATTGTTTATATACAGTTTGTATAAGGCTAGGCCTCCTGCACTGCTGTTGACTGATCGATTTTAAATTCTTCCATTCTTTCCTACATATTGGACATGAGCCAGGCAAAAAATAAGCAAAATTCAATTCAAGAAAAGGAAGTCAATGAGTGTATTTTCACTGCAAACTACAAATTCATCTCTAGAGTTTGGTTGTGACGTTGCATGCTACATGTTGTGCATGTGGCCAGTATCCTTTATCTGTGTCGTAGGCTTGCACAGCATATAAAAGAGATAATAGTACTTTGATTAGCAGAATAGTCAGACTGAACTTACAGGGATGGTACGTGGGTATGGCTGTGGTTTGTTGACCTAATTGCCCCCAAAATTGCATAATTCTGTCTCGAGTCGGTAGAATATCTTTTTTCTCCAAGTTGTCTTGCTCGAGAGAATCTTCCTTCTGGTTAAAGACATTCTAAGTACATGCTGCAAAGTAGAACTTGTTACATGTTAGCTAATGAAACGTGAAGAAAATTGGAAGTTTGTACTATTCCTGTTTTGTCTGAGCATTTAATAATGTCTGAGTAGGCTGATTGAGAAGAGCTGATCTCTTGGGGGTTTTTAAGGACCGTGTACAATGATTGTAAATGTGGTATTCCCCCATCAAGACTATTTCAGAGTATTTAGGAAGGTGTAGGCTGCTTGACCCACCCTGTCAGTGCTAACGGGAGCTGTTTTAAAGGATACATCCCAGACAAATAATGAAGCTGACAAAGATTTCCTCAATTGACTCACACCATCTACATGAAAGCCGTAAAGTCCTATTTTACTAGTACACTTCAGGGCTAGTGTGATTGCTTATTGGTTTGGTTGTTTTTTTTCCGAAGCATAATTAGTAGATTCCGGTTGAAATAAGTGAGAAAGCATAATGATTAGTACTATATCTCTATCAGGGACACATTTATTATAATGAAAGAAAGTTTACCTTGTTTGAAGTTATTACTTCCTTCATCTTCATGGTTTTTTCTCTTGTAGTGAAAGGCAAGGCTTTATGGGGGCATTTTGATATATTTTTATATATTCCTGTTTGTTTATTTCTTCTGTTAATCATATCCAGTTCATTTTAAATATTTTTGAAAGAGTACTGTTTGCAAAGTCGGACTACTTTATCAATTTTTGAAATGAAAACCTGTTTTGGTCTGCTTGTCTCTTTGTAATAAGAGTAATTGTAGAAGAAAAATTCTCCAGGGAGGATGTTGATTGTGAGACTGAAGCAGTTTTAGCCTGCTGTTGTCAAAACAGTGTGTTCAGTGATTCACGTGAGTGTATACTTGATGGCATAACGGTACAAAATTTAGTTTCATGACTAAGTTTAGATTATTCCATCCTTTGATGGTTCAGAGGTTTAGAGATTTTATCGTGGAGCCTGATCAGTGCAGCGTTTGTATTTACTGACAACAATATTGTTCGATTGTTACATAACTTAAAAGGGGGGGGGGTGGAGAAAAGATAGAGTCCTCTAATTGTATAAAAGTAACAATTAAATTAATTCATCTGCAGTAATATTAAAGCCTTATATGTCCTTTGAAGGAGGAAAGATGAGGTAGGGTTTTTTTTTTTACCCCTGGGAACTTTATTTTTAATTGATAAGGTTTTGTTTTACCACACAAGTGGGAACCCCTGTTTTCTTTAAAGATAAAATCAGGATGGTTATAAATAGATTAATGAAAAAGTTTCTACTAGCAATCTAAGTAGGAGTTACTTCATTTATGAAAACATTTCCAATTTAAATCAAAGGGAAGTCAAATGTATGGTGGTTTGTTATTATAGTAGTATGTTATCATTAGAGTATGCTTTTTGGTCTCTTTAGTATTTTCTTTATCCAAAAGATTGTTTTGAAAGTTATTTTTCCGTTTTCTCGCACACATGCTGCTGTTCCTCAGTATTGTGTTATTGACTTGATTGAGTGTGGTTTTATAGGATTGAAAGAATTTACTCTTACTGGATATTTAAGTTTTCAATTAAGTCTCAGCTCCATAACATCTGTGGCCTAATCAGGAAATCATTTTCATTGAATTGATGAGTCTGTTATGAGTGCGTATTTGTTAACACTATGGCTGGAACCATTCATCATAGTGTGTCTAGGATTCAACAACTGCGGAGGTTTTTGTTTTCGTTTTTTTTCCATTTTATGGGCTGTTGTAAGCCCCGCCCTGTCGTTTTGCATTTTGATAATATAATACATGATGTGATTGCTTTCAAAATGTTTGATGGATGATGACCTTGCATTTTTATTTTCCCCCTTAAAGTTACTTTATTAATAGAATTGTGTGGTTGTGCACAAATGCATTACTGTATCATGTTGTACAAATAGTCTTTTTGTGTATTACTTCTGTGGTTATTGGAACCGGTGCATTCAGTGCATTTTTGTTTGAAAAATGCTGTGCTTTGTACATTCATGTAGTCTCCATAAGTACGTACATATTGTGTTCATCAAGAGTCTGTCATGTGGAAAACGCTTCCATCAGCTCATTTTGCTTCAATGGTTGTTTTGTCTTTTGAGTTTGGTTGTTTAAAGTCATCCCCCACCAATGAATGTCACCATGGACAACATTTGCTCCCTCTGTCATGTGCCGTGTCTTGAGGAAGTTGCTTTACAAGCAGGACCACAGCTGTGCTTACAAATAATGCAGGAATCTGTACATATTGCTTCAAAGACGTTTGCTTCTCCTCACTCTGGACAGAAATGACAGTCTTGCGAATTGCTGACATGTATTATAAATAAAAACAGTCTGAATGATGAGTAAGCTCTGTAAAAAGTTTTGTTGTTGTTGTTGTTGTTCACTTCAGGTTTTTACTGTGTTTCTAAATGCCAGTTCACGGGTGATACAGGGGAAAGATGATGAAGCCTGAGGATGCTGTTTTCTGTTTTCATGGCTTTCAGTTTTTATCAAATGTAAAAAAAATGTGTAATACTGACCGTCACCAGTTGTTTGTGGCATTTCTTCATTGTTGTTGCCACCCACAAAGTGTCTTCTCAACACTTCATACTGGACTATATAGGGCTTGTGATATGTATCATAGATGAATTCTAATGGAAGGCTTTGCTCATCTCTTTGTTCTCATATTCTCAATTATTTCCTGAGTTGCGGAAGGCAGAAATCAAATAGTTCTTTTTGAAAAGTTTGTTTTAGCCCAAGTTGCTCTCTCTTCTTTTATTTGTCGACTTTCCAGTTCACTCAAGAGCGGTAATGTGCCTGGCATTCCATCTACTTATTTTTAATTTTTTTTTTTTTTTTTTCAGAAATAAGGGATTGTGAATTTGTCCGAAAAAGCAGAGGAAGTTAAGAGCCGCACTCTAAAATTATTAAAATAGCTTGTTTGCTGAAAAGCTATTGGACTGCTCAGTGTAAGATTCCTGTCATACGTCAGTGTTCAATATAATGGCTTATGGTTGAGTCTTACACTAAGCAGTCAAAATTATGTTGTTTCTGATCACATTTCAAATTTCATTACATGTAAGTCTCACTTAATATAAAGCAAATCAGTTTTTTATAACTTAAGTGTTTGTTGGGGTTTTTTTTATATTGGGAAAAAATATAGGGGGGTGCTGTTTTAGCCTATTTTCTTTAACTAGGCAAAATTGTATTGTTTTCAGGGTTATGGAGATTACTCTGTACATTTGATTTCGTTCTGTCTGTAGAAATTTTTACCTTGGATCAACAGTCTGACAGTGACATCGGATATACTTATCCACACCCTCAGTTTGTGTGTACCTGAAATGTTTTCTTTCTTTTGTAAACCTAATTGTCTTTCTTTCTATTGCTAAGTTTCCTACATTTCTTGTCCAAAATATTGATCGCATAGTTTTTGGGGTTTCAGAGTTGAACTGTCAGGGCATTTCTGCATTGAACCTCATTGTAGAAATCAGTTCTCTTTTAATTATCTTGCTAACATTCTCCAACTCTCCAGAACTTTCTGTGTGGCACAGTAAAAAGTAGCACGGTAGTTGAGACTTTGGGGGGGGGGGGGGGGGGGGGGGAATGGATAAATGGTCAAATGGAAAGAGTAAGTAGAATGGAGAAGTAAAGTTTTGATACATTCGTTGAGTTGTCCAGGGTTTTAGATGCTTTATTTTCTTTTTCATTTTTCTAGCTTCCAAGAGTGAGTGTCAGAACTAGTTGTTACTGCACTAGATCTGCACTATTTCACTTTGGCTCTCTCTGAATTGATTGAGCCAGCAGCAGGTTCACTGTGCCTTGTTCAGTGTCTCTATCAACACCATTTGTCAGATAACCACAGACATTTGAGAAGAAAAAAAAGATTTTAAGCGACCTTGATTTGACCTCCAGACATTGACAACACTAATGAGACACTGTCGCTCATATCACAACACAGCACCCACCCTGATGGTGTGAAAATCCACAGTGTTTCTGTCAGCATGTTATGTGATGTCCTTTGACTAGATGCTGTTGCCTTCTTTATTTAAAAACAAGTTTATCTGCTGGAGGTTTTTTTTTTCCAATGCAGTCTTAATCGTCGTCATTGTTTCCTCCTTCCCCCAATCTGTGTTCCTGAACTGTTTGTAGCTTAGATATGTCTCCTGGCCAGCTCTGACTGATTAGATTGCACAAATATATGCCCTGATAAAATGCGTTCAGTGTACTTCACATCACTTTAAAAGTGCGAGGGTCCATTAGTTAGTTAATGGAGGGTTGGAGGGTACCACTATTAGGTCTAACCTCTTTGCTTTTTAAAACTTCTCAACTTTTCTTTGTGTGTGTCTGTCTTATTCTTTCCGTACGCTAAGTGACCATCAGTGTGTTGATGTGCTGCTGTTTACTCATAATCATCACTTAAAAAGTGAAAGGGTCCATTAGCTGCTGTGTATGTAGGTTTTTAAAAAATTCTTGTTCTTCTTGTATGTTCCCCCCCTCCTAGATCTCAGGAATCTTTGACGTTAACATTTTATTGGTGCACATTGTTTTATTATTCAGAATGAAGAGAAATCTTTGGTGTTTGTCTAGAAGTTTCCTAAATGCTAGAATGGCTAGATGTAGGGAATAAAACTTATTTCAACTAGATTATTAGTTTGGGAGTCAGGCTTGTAGTACTTGTAGTCATTACTGAGCTAAGCTGTGGTTGCACTGTCACTCCAAGTTTTGATGCAGTAATGCCTCTGGAATTCTCAGTGTTGGTTTCAATTGTCTCAGTTTGGCTTTCTGAATTGGATACCACCCAACATACAGTGTGAGTATATCGTTTAATTATGACCTCGTGTTCATCCATTTTATCCAATGATTTTCATTAAATTAAATGATAAAGTCTGCAAGGACTGGCATCTATGGAGTAATGGTTAGGCTGTCTGCTGTCCCACATGTGATGATGGTTTGCCTTTTGGAATTCTGTTTTCCTCTCTTTTAGTGTCAAAGCAGTCCGCCTCTTTAAATAACCTTAATTGTGTCAGTGAGAATACAACAGATAAAATCAGTAGCATGAAAAGTGTCCAACCCCATTTGGACTTACTGGAAGAAAAAAGTGGATTTCTGGGTGTTATGAAGACAGAGGAAGGGGGGGGGGGGTTGTAATTTTTATTTGAGGCATCTTGCACTTCAAACAGAGGAGAAAATTTTGGCTATAACGAGGATTAGTTTTCAATGGTTTTAATTTTGTCTTTGTTTAATTACTGATAGAGAGCAGTTGCGAGCGCCGTAAAACCTCTGCTAAATAAAAATAATACTAATTGAGAAGATTGTTGGTTCTAAGTTGTGTCTTTCTTTGCTTTCTGCCTATGTGGAAGTGGTTACTTCTGGTTTGGATCTTATTTCACATCACCTGTTCAGATATGTTGCCTTTGCCACTCACATAGACATGAAAGGAGACTAGCGCCCTCATTTTCTTTTAACTTTGTTCTTCTTAAACTTTCCCTCTTTTGCTTGTCTTTCTGTCTTTTTTCCTAACACTAAATGACTATCCTTCTTCCCTCGCTTCATTGCCCCTGTGTGAGGTCATTGGTGCCATACACACTCCTGACTTTATCATTTCAACCACAAGAACTAAACGCGGGTATATAGTGCCAATGGTTGGACTTCCTTCTTTACTCTCCATCCTTCTGTTATTTTTTGCTTGTTGACGTTGACTCCTATCCTTCCCCCCTACACTACATTGTTGTGTAATAGTGTTGCTGTGCTTTTCTTTTTATTCGGACCTAACAATAACCTGAAGGGGATCAGGGACTGACTTGTTAATGATGGCATCAGCACTTGTGTTCATCTCTTGGCATATCATTCAGTTTTTGTATCAGAGTCATGTTCTTTATGCTAAATTATCTGCAGATTTATTTGTGACACGTTTTTGTTTGTCGTTTTTGTTTTCCTTAGCAAGTTGTTTGTTTCTGTGCTGCAATGTGTCTATCATGTGTGTGTGTGTTTTTGTGGTGTAAGAATATCGATGGTGTCGGGCACAGTTGGGCCATCTCCCTAGGAGCCTAATTTTACTGGAAAGGCGAGAGAAGCTATGAAATTAAAACTGTCGAAGACCGTTTTAACTCAAAATGTCATTTGGATGTTTCATGATTTCTTATTCTATTTGAATTTTTACACCATTTATTTGAGATGATGTAATTGACCCTACTTTACAGCTTGGTAAAAAGATCAGGTTTGGGAAAAGTGTGGAGATTTCCTATTGGGGGCCGTCACCATGGATGTGTTGTGGTTGTAACTTGAAAATGTTGAAATGATATGTCAGTGTGGAGGTCTCTCAGGTAACTGCTCTCTCATCAAATCTTTCTCATGGCTGGTCTGTGTCACAGAGATTGTGTTCTATCATCACAAGGTGGCTTTTCACATAATGTCAAGTACAAAGAAATAATTCATATTACAACATTTCTGTCCTTCCATTTCTCAGCTTACAATGGGCTACTGTCTAGATTTGTATGTCTGTATGAGAAAAGAATATGGTACCCTTGTGGTTTGGTCTACTCTTTTTCTGCTGTGCTGTATGTTGTTAGGTTTGATGATAAGTCGTGCATTTTTTTTTCCACACACATATTTGTCAGCATTGTTGTATGGCCACAGGACAAGAAATGTACGTGTACCCTGATGTTTAAACAAAACCTTTTTTTAAAAATTCTTTCTTCGCTCAAGACTGGAGCTCCTCCAGTAGTAGTAAGCTTTACAGTAAGTGTTGCAATGAGACAAAATGGGTCACATGTCGCTTTAAACCGATTCAAGATATTGGACACAAAAATTGATTTTCTCAAAGCTGTGTTTCTGATGACACACATCTTGTCTCGCGCGCCCTCCCCCCCCCCCCCCCCCCCCCCCGGAAAAAAATGGCTATGGTTCTACAACCAAAGCAGCTGGATTTATGTTGTTTTCACCCACTTTTAAGGCTTGGACATATCTTCACTTTGATACTGCCTATAGTGTTATATTGCCAAAATGTGACATGTGTGACTTATTTTATCTTATTGCTACACACAATATTAAGATTGTAGTGTGGAGCGGTCTCTGTGCTGAACTGCCTGGCTTTGTCTCATCATTGGCTACCTCACACCCAGATTTCTCTCTCCTAATCTTCTTGAGTGCCTTCAGAAAAGACAAATCGCCAACAACTGGGTTGGGTTGTGTGGGTTTTTCGCCCCCCCGTTTCCCAGAAGTCATCGTCGTTGTCGTTGCTGCATCTCTCTCATCTTTGTGTTGTCGTAAAAACAAACGTGTGATTTGTCATCATCAGTGTGTGTCATAATTTTAATTATTTTTCTTCTTAATTATTGTTCTGGATTGTTGGGGGGTTTTTCTTGACAAATACTTTAATGATAGCACTATTCTCCTCTTCCTCCTCCATTCTTCTTGACATTTAAGCATACAAAACGTCAAAACTTACACCAATAATCCTCCTCCTCCTCCTCCTTTGTCCTCCAAATGGCTAGGGGGGCGCCACTGACCTGTTCAGATTTTTCTAGTCTTTCCCTCTGTTATTTCTGACTGTCAGCCTGACCGTCTTCTTCTGTCCTGGCACTCGCACTAAATGACCACTATTGTGTCGATGTGCTTTTCTTTACTCTTTACTCTAACACAAACAACATGAAAATCCTCCTCACAGTCCCTAGTTTGTCCTGTAGATTGGCTTTTCTTGCTCTTTGCTAAGACTAAGACGCAATACAAAGGCCTTGGTTAAATTGGCTTTTTCTGCTCTTTGCTAAGACTAAGACACAATACAAAGGCTTTGGTTCATCTTGGCCCTGGAGTTGTTCTCATCCTTATCAGAAACGCCACACTGGTTGGGTTTCTCCACCCCCCACCCCCTCCTCCATCCTCCCTTTTCAATCATCATCACATCCTATTTTTAGAAAAATATTTTTGTTTTGTTTATTTGTTTTTCTTCATCTTTATGTTTTCTTCATTTGATTGTTTCAATTCCTGTGTTGCATTGGACATGATTATTCATTACTCGCTATTAAACATAATACAACAAAGTGATCAATGCCTTGGAGTGGTTAACATTGTGTGTGTATGTGTGAGAGAGAGAGAGAGAGAGAGGAGTTGCGTGTTGTAACTTTCCTTAAAACTTGGACACTGCACGATACCCCAGAATTACAAAGTTCTGTCTGACATTTTTGGCCGTTTTGAGTTGCTAAAAACCATGAGGTCAGACACCAAATGTTTTATCTGCTTTAGCAAAATCGTAAAGAATTCGGAGTCATCATCAAGATGTTCAAAGAATTGCTTTCGCAAAAGCTTGGCATATCTGAAACTCGAGAATTTTTATGTAAAATTTCTCAAAACTTGGTATTGAGCAGATTTATCTTTATAATTCATGGGTAGCGAGTTGGAACTATTCAAAGTCAAAGACAGAGCGTGCACTAGCCAAAGGGCGTGCCGTTAACTCGGTTGATATCATACTGGACTGGTGCGGATGGCTCTGGTTTGAATTCCCAAATGGGGTGTTCTTGAGCTTGGGTTTTCTGGTGAGGTTTCCATGCTCTTCGCCCACTTGATTGGGTATATCAAGAGATGGCGTTAAAGTCGGAGGTCCTGCCACTGAAATGGCCTTACAGAGTTGAGAATGGGCTAAAACCATGGCGTTCTTTACTAACACGCTAAGGCTAAAACCAATTCAATTACGTGCCTCTCAATGGGATGAAGTCTTCAAACTGTAAAGAAAAAGTCCAGCGCCTTATTGTCTGGAAACTGGACGTACGAGCTAAAGATGGGACTTTACGTGGTCTGGGGTGGACACCCTGTCACATTGTCATGGTGGTGGATGCAGTTTGCTGTATGCATCGTCTTTCCGAGCCGAGCTTATTTGGGAGGTGGGGGGGGGGGGGGCGCCATTGGCAGATCCTACTTCTTTTCGGTCTATGAATTGTTTCTGTTGAAGAATTCGTCTGAGACAAGGACTTCATTTACCTGGAATCGAACTCGGTTTCTTTGTCTGCAAAGCGAACCATCTTAATAAAGACATGCATTTATTTGCTTGTTGCAGAAAGGAGACTGATTTGCTTAGTCTTACGTAGAGACGTACACTACAACTGCGAGGTCTATACCTTACGTGTGCGAAATTGTGTTGATTTGACGCCCCTTGCAATACTTTACTAGGTTATTTAAGAGGCAAGACCTCCGAAATTAACGTCCATCTCCGATGGGACCGAGCCAAATAAGAAAACCTGTGTAAAGTGCCTTTCCCAAGGACAAACGCCGGACCGAGCTCTCACTCCAGCCTCGAACCCCCGAACCTGCCTTCTCACAATTGCAAGTCCGTATCCTAACCACTAGACTGTCGAACCCACCACCAATTGTATGAGTAAAGTAAAGAGGAGCACATCGACACAAATAATGTGGTAATTAATTAAGTGCAGGGAAAAATAAACACAGATAGACAGGAGATAATATTAGAGGGAAAGAACGAAAGTAGGATCTACTGCACAGTGGCGCCCTCTAACATCTGAC